GTCCAGAATAATTCTTAACACCCCCTCTTAAAGTCATGCCAAAAAATGCGATCCCGCTAAGCAAGGCTTGTAGCATCCTCCACATTTTTCTGATAAAAATTTGCCCATACCCCCCTTTTCCTACCAAAATTTTCCCGAACGCCCTTCAATTGCACCTGCCCCCCCCCCCCCCCGACCCTCCGCAATACATTATGAACGCAGCTTTAGAATAATTTTATTCGTTTACAAGTAAGCATTGTGCATATATTCAATAGCTTAAGGTTTTAAGAAGCAAAATTGTCGGCTTTACTCGCTAAAAAAAATGACGTGCAAAAAGCTGCCTTAAGATTCAATTAATTGATTCTGAATGGCAACTTAAATAATCAAGCATTTCCTTAATTAAACTCGTATTGAATATCATGGATATGTTTGCGAATGTTAGTGACACGTAAAGACCTCTTTGCCTGATATTTATCTTATCACTATAGCACTAAAGAGTTTCATGGTCGCGACATGAATACAGAAACTTAAGACTATATTTTTATATCTACTTTTGAAATTTCCTCAAACCTTTACAACTGATATGACTAACGATATTCTGGTAGGGGATCAACCATGAAATAATAGAGCGTTTTCACTCAGTCCCTAGAGAGTTAACTAACAATAGAGATGGCGGACATATTGGTGTACCTAACAAAATAAACTATGACAAAGTTATTGTCAAAGATACACCAATAATGGCGGCTGTGACGTCATTTGAGAACGCTCTATAGACCTTGAGATGTCAAGGTTGAAAACACACACACACACACACACACACACACACACACACACACACACGCATACATACAAATTTAAATTTAAAGTGTTTCGTATATTGTTCCAGCTAGCAGCAAATTAAATTCTAAATGTAAGCAAAAAATAATGTAAGACATCAAGCTTTACTCTATATATGTTAATATGTTAGTGTCGAAGTTGGAGTAGAGAAACCTCACTCCATATATGGTATGATCAATTCCATATTTGGATTGTGCGGAAAAGCGGCAAACGAAAAGGCCGTCGTTTTATAACGAATTCGACGTGAACATTTTTGAAGAAGAAAAGAAAAGAAAAAAAAGACAAGTAAAAAAATAAAAACTTTGGAAAATCGAGGAAGGATACGGGGACGATGCTCGTGGGTCTGCCTAGCAGACAACAGACACAGGGAAATACGACACTCAATGTTTGATATGCGATGTAAACTCAAATTCACCAGGGTGACCCATTCAGCTAGGAGGCTGGTATCCAGAGGGGCCTTGCTTTTTAGATGTGCTTTTCATTGAAACGGCGCAAAGTTATATAAAAAACACCCTGACAGCTGTGCTTTCTATAAGTTTTCCAATAGTTGCCCCCTTCGACATCCCATAATGCCTTAATCACAACTGAATAGGATTMAAGATGGCTGCCGTATCGGTAAAAAGGTCTATTCAGCTTCGGGGAAACAGGGCCCGGTTGTACGGAGCCTGGATAGCACTATCCGGCGGATAAATCCTTATCCAGTGGATAATTCGATGCTGTTATCCATTAAATTTATCCACTGGATAAGATTTATCCGTCGGATAGTGCTATCCAGGCTTCGTACAACAGGGCCAAGAAGAGTAAATACGATTATATTATTGTTTCCCCTTAGCCTCGACTTAAAATGTTTTGTGTAGACCACTCCACTAGAATACCGAAAGTTGTTTAATTTTGAAGCCAGCCATGAAAACTGTTTTAGCTTAATTGCCCTATTTACATTGTTCACGAGTGGTTTGAAATAGAAATCCGAAACATTATGACAGATTATGCCCTGTTTTTGGGAAGCTGTTTGGTCATGTGGCTACTATAACGCCATTACTTATCATCATCACCATCATTGTCATCATCAGCATCAACTTTAACATCGTCAACATCACCAACGACACCGATCATCATCAACACCACCACCAATCGCAGCGTCATCACTGATCAACAGCAATAGCAACATCAGTATCATCAACCGCATTATCATCATCATTATCATCACTGATTAACATCAACAGCAACATCATCATCTCCATCATCGACAACATCGGCATCAACGTGATCACCATCATTACTATCATCAGCAACAGCTTCATAATACCACGACATCATCATCCTCATCATCATCATCAACTTTAACAGCAACAACGAACAACTTCATCATCATCATCATCATCATCATCTTATCCGCTTTCTGGTACCGAGTTCTATATCATTTATCAATTCACCATAAAAATCCTGGAATAATTTTTTCTAGTTTTCACATGTGCTTTTTTTAATTTCCTTTTTCAGGTTTTGTTTCCTTGATAGGATTAGGAGGAAATGGGCTCGTCGTCGCCATCATCACAACTGCACGAAACCGTGGTGAAAAAAACGCTGTCCAGCTATTTCTATTTCATCTAGCCGTCTCAGACCTCATGGTTTGTTTATTGTGCATCCCGCTGACGATTTTAATGAACTTTAATTTTCCCACCGAAGTTTCGGTCACGGAACATGGCTTGTGTAAAGTTACGAGATATGTGCAGGTGAGTCAGAGTCTGTAGATGGGGGAAAGAGCTCGTTTCGTAAGGAAGTAAACTTATACGTTTTTACCAAATTCAAAAAAACTTTGTCAGCGCCAAAAGCGATAGGTCATTCCGAATTGGAAATGGATTCTTTGAATCGAAGAACATTGATTTAGTCTCAACGCTACAGGTCCATGTTCTTGACGAGAATAAGAAGCAGAAACGTTAACACAAGTCATTCTGAGCTATACTTGAATCTCAAGTAAGGACGCATATATATCCATGCCTAATCATTTTTTATTTATTTTGCTCCAGTTTCTTGCACCGTCAAGTTCTATCGCCATTCTCACCGTCATCAGCATCGATAGATTCTATTCACTAGTCAAACCATTCAAACGTGGATCTAAGTTTCGCAGTCCCTACTTCCTTATCTTCACAGCCTGGTTTTACGCAGGAGTCATATTCCTACCAACATTTTACTTCGCTAAGATGGAACAAATTTCCACCAATCGCGGTGAGGTCTGGTACTGCGCGACTATCCCGAACAACAACCTCATAGGATTCATCTACTTGCTGTTTCTATTCTTATCGGCCTTTGCTGTACCGCTGGTCACAATCATCGTGTTGTACTTCCGCGTGGGAAAGGCGGTGTGGAGCCGACAGCGGAAAATCTCCCGTTCGTCAAACACGTATATCACSAAGAATAGTCTCTCTGTACTTCAACGCTCTAGGAGGCGAGTGACAAGGATGCTACTGATTGTYGTTGTCGTGTTTTTATTTTGTTGGTCACCCTTTGTTATTTACACCGGATTTATTGAGAAATACGTCGCCTCGTTCCCAAACCCCGCCGATGTAGCTCGGTTGGTATTATACTCCTTAGGGCTTGCCAACTCTATATGTAATCCTTTTATATACTATTTGAACAACGAGGGATCAAAAAAGGGATCTCTAAAGAATATTTGCTTCGAGGCAGTGGTACGWAAGGTTACAAGGAAGAGTAGTTCACGTACTGAAAGATACCGTCCCCAAACTGGAACGGTATATACTGTGTATAAGGACGGGGGTGAAGYCTATGATACGAAACTATAAAATCTAGAATATTGATACGAAAACAGGCTATATAGGTCAGCGTTTACTGACGATAAAACACGGACCGGTTTCGTCTGGCACGCACGCATCATGGGGCATGTCCGTTACCGGCTGAGATGTACGAACATGAAGCTTTTATGTTAGGCATTCCGAGTTTAATGAGGATAAAACTGGATCGAGTTGGCGTTGTAGTGCATGGTTCTTAGGGCCAGTATAGATATTTCAAGATGGCGTGTATTTCGCCCGCCAACTCATCAATTCTGTTTTTCCCGTCGATCAGCTGAATGGCAAGKCTTCAATATAATTCTTTGTAGCTAACACACCTAATGGTAGTCAGTGTATGACGACCATTTGGAGCACATTATGATGTAAACAACATTTATCAGCTGATTTAACAGCAATATCGTAGCTAGTTTATGATACTGTAAATAGTTTGTAGGAAACTAACAGAGATTAGTATAAGAAATCGCACAATCTCGAGTACAATTCGGAATTATTAGACGAGCTTTAGAGTCCAATTTGAGAACTTTCAAAACATCACGAGTATCTCGATAAATTCCGAATTCATACGAGAAAATTGAACGAGAAGATTGAACACTGAGTGTTCGACAACCATTTGGAGCAGATAATGAGACGCAAACGGCATTTATTAGCTAATTTAACAGCAGTATCATCGTTCTTGTTAGAGTACGGCGTTTTACTTTATATCCTGTAAAACGTTTGTAGGAAACTAACTCTTACTTAGTAGAAGAAAGTACTATTCTAAGCTCGAAAAGAAAATTCCTCATTGTCAAGCTAAACAGATGTAGCTACTTATTTTTTTTAAGATTATATGTATCAATTAACCTTAGTAGTTTTATTGTGTACGTGTGCTTAATTTAAGAGATTTAAAACGACACGTTTGTTGATGCTGAAGGAAAGCAAGAGCGTAAATTCCGAGGTTTTTGCGGGAAAGCTGGTAACGAGCGTGTGGACACGCGCCGAATCATGGGGCCACTCGTCATGAGAGCAGAAAATTACAGAAGCCAGCTCAAGACAGCTCAAGACTAATCGAATTGCTAAATCTAAAGCTATTTTGCGAGGTTTTACGGTTCTCACATGTAAATAAACGAGCATCATTGACATTACAGCCATCAAACTGAACGAAAAGCGAGCAAAGCGAAAATTTAACGATGTCTATAAGAAAAACGGATTCATAAGAGTAGAAAATGATTTTTAATTTTTTTGGTATAAACATTTTTTTGGCAGTTTTTTATTTTGACACTGTAAACCTCGACTCACTATAAACTGAAAGAGCGCTGTTACCAAACCTGACATAGAGTATATCTTTGTAGGGTTACTAAAGTAGGAGCCAGCTGTTTAAACGGCGATGTGCCGAAACTAATGGAAGTGAACAGAACATATTGTTTGTAGCAACAGACGTTTAACTAAGTATGCTCTTAACTTTCTATGATCTAGTGCTGGTATGTTGTTTTCTTTTTTTTAAAATTTTATCACAGTTGGGTATCCAGAAATTTTTGGCAAACTGTCGAAGAACTGAACAGTGTGAAGTGTACTCGACGTTTTACGTTTTGACAAGAAAATTTTAAAAATTTGTTATCAGTTAAAGTTGTTGATATTAAGCGAAACAATGCCGAGAGAAATTAAATAATAACTATATAATAGAAATATCACCACGTGGCGAGGAAACAAACAAACGCAAAAGGATCAGCAAGTGTCTCGTTTTTTGGTAGATTTATTGTGATGCAAATATGAATTAGTTTCGCTTGACCAATATCACAAATGATTGATAATATTTTGGGTTTCTTATCAGCACCACTTGGTCGCCTCCTTCCCTTGACGATTCTAAAYCCGTGGAAATCACTTCCTAGTTTGTAATATAGACAACAGGAAATCGATGGAAATCTTACCTTTTTGGCTTTTATCACACAATTCCACCTTCCCCCTCCCCCTTGGATCCACCTTTTTGGAGGGGGGAAGGGAGGGAAGAACGAACATTTAACTGGCCTTCCWCCCACGGGGTTGCGTTGCCTGGTTGTTCCTGTCTAAAAAACGAATCCGAACTTAAAAGTCGTTCATAGATTTTCATCTATATATCTATYAATCGAAACTTCACTATCTTATGTTACGCAATTCATAAAACCAACGCAATACTAAAATGCTCTTAGCTTTCATCACGCGAGACTGCCATATCTAATTCTCGACAAGCTTTTTTTTCGCGTTTTTTCGAATGAGTGACTCAGAATTATCGAATGAAATTATTTACATAATAAATGAATGAAGTCTTGACAAGCTATAATTAACGGAAGAGAGATAAATTGTTAATGTAAAGTGCTGTTTGTCACTGGTCGCATCGGATTACCTAGGGAAATCGTCCTGATATACCTTCTAATGAAAATTCAGTAGATTTAGCTTGGCGTTCTTTATAAGTCTCAGCCCCAAGGAGGTATCTCAGCCAAGCGTATAACCGGTAAACACAGCTAGCAAGAGAGCTCGATCACGTAGACGTCAACTTCAAAGGCTTCCAATTGCCTTGACTTCTTGGTTTAAAAAAAAAATGGTTGTGTGGACGATAAATAGCGCTGGTTTTCTGGTCGTTACTATCTTGTTAGGTAAGAATACGTTTATGATTGTCATTTGTATATTCATTGATTGTCCAAGTATTTTCGTACCATAAACTTATAGTTTTTTTTCAGTTCCTGCATTTGCGCTTGAATTCAGTGATACGTCTTTAAAAGTTACTAAGTATAAGTTCTTCTTGARCAGGTTTTTTCATACTTTTTCGACAATATTGTACAAAATTTAAGCCACTTTATTCCTTGATTCGAGGGTTTTTCTCTGGGTTCTTCCGTTGTTGTCCCTTCACAAAACCCGCCGYTCAGGGTTCGCGAAAAGATCATACGATTTTTTACACGGTCTAATTAGGCGTCAAACACGTCTAAGTTTATCAGTTGGACTAGAACTAAGTTACGATCCACTAAGACACCCAAAAAATAAAATAAAATAAAATAAATAAATTAGAATGAAACTTAGAAATAAATATTAAACTGGTCTTACTCTCAAAACACACTCAGACTCGACTACAAACAATTCAGGTTTCTGAACAAAACTTTGCAAGTTTACTTAATTATGAGTATAATTGAAATTTCCCTCAAGAATCACCTAAAATCATTCGATTCTTTTGATATCGACCAACTACTCCTCAGATTCGAATTCCGTATTTTTTCTTCATAAATATTTGATGTGGAAGAACCATTTTGGTGTTAATAAAATCAGGTTTTACGAAAAGCATTMTATTCGATCTAGCAAGAGCGGTTTTAATAGAAGGTATTAAGAATAATTATAGGGGAAATCTCGAAGCTGTTAACTCTGCMTAAAATGATTAATAAGATAATTAGACGTTTTTCTCTCTCTCTCTCAAGATAATCGAACTTAAATAAACGATGCCTAATAATTAAAAAGGAAAAAATAGGAAAATTTAACCAAAATAGACAAATCTATGCATAAACATGCTTATTCAAAATTATTCAGAATCATGTAAATCTAAACTTTATTTTTTTTCCAATTTAAAACCGGCGGGTCTAGGTCTATTGACGTAATATAGATGTCGTACATTTATTTTCCGTTTCTAAATTTAGCTTGCCCGACGCATTTATAGAAACTTCGTGCCAAGGTTTAGATCGTTATGCCTGCATGTAAAAATAATTATAAGAATTGTTTATGCTTATCGAATAGCGCGAGCCATCAACAAAAAGTCAAAATTGTATTCAAACTTACAGAATCCAATATATATGGTAATATAACCTTGTATAGAAATTTGAAATGCAAAACAAAGTTAATAGATTGGTCATTTGGTCTATGAAGAACTGATATTTTTAAAACGCATGAACGGAAATTTTAGGCTTTGGCAAACCTTCACATTTTATCGATAACTCGCGAAAAAAAGTTTTTCGCTGATGTTTAGTCAGGGTCAGGTCTACTSGAATTGGAATTTATCTTGCAATTGCTAGGTAGTTAAAACGGAGGGAGAAAAACCGTAAAAGCCCGGGGAAAA